TCTGTGAGTCTTGGAAGGTGAGAGCACTGTGTAGTGATGGTGTTTTTGAAAGGCAGTTTAGAAATTCATTTCTGAATACATTTTTCATCTATTCTGGATCTTGTGTGCAGTTTGGCTTCCTGCATCATAAAAATACACTTTGCTTTGAGGTCGATGACTTGAATGAGATGAATCCCACGTCTGCTTCATTTTCTTTGCAAGAATGCTGACAAAGTTCAGGAAAGGGCTGCAGCATTGACTTGGAAGACATCTGTATTGCAAAACGTCTGTAAATCGTAGAGAAAGGTAGGAGTTGGTTTGATCATAACATGCCTGTATTTGCAGGTGAGGAAACCTCACTCCCTGAAAGATTTTTCTAGATTATCTTAAGAAAACCTGATGCCTGTTTGCTGGAACTTGGTGTTAAACGTGCTCAAATGAGAAGAAGTCATTATTTCTGTACAGTGAATGTAATTAAGCATTGAAGAACTCAGAATGAATGTAATAAGGAATATGCTGTGGTTCAAAGAGAGGTTTGTTTGGCTGCAGCAGATCCCCTGGCAGGGGTAAAGGCAGCTCTTGGAGACGTTGGTCTTGGAGACGTTGCAGTTTCTCAAACCTTGCTGGTTTAAGTGGTGTGTGCACTTCTGATCCTATAATTTCACAGGTAAATTTTGTGCTGGAATTGAAATGTTTGCACATGTGTCAATATGGGAAGAAAAGGTAAATTTTCTTAGTTTTGTGTCCAGCCTGCTTTGAAAGGTAACTTGTGGTGGCCATTTGTAAATTGGGTCCTTTGTGGTGTGGGTCAAAATAACACACAAATGGTTCATTGCAGCACTTCTGCTCAGTTCAGCAGATGAGCAGTTCCAGCAAAGGTGGAACATCCGATGGTTTTAATACCAGATTTCCTAAGACTTTTCCAGCGTCTGTAGAATGCTTTATAAAATCACCAGTCGCCGTGCTGACTGGGATGGGGCCGTTGGAGCTGTGGCTGCTGTGTGATCTGAGCTTCTTTGGCTTTTGTGGACTGTGGCTCTGTGTCAGCTCCTTCTGATGCTGCACAGCAACTCTTCAACAACTGAGTCACCTCTTCTATTTTCATCTCCATCCTCTGAGTCTGTATTTGCACGTGTGCTTTGTAATCTCGGTTGACAATATTACGACTTGGGCCACATAGGAAGAAGCATAATGATAAATCCCAAGGTCCAGTACCACTCTGCAATGGCTTGTGGAATTGTAGAACTTACAGGAGTAAGTGAATACTTTTTCCTGTTATTTACTGAAGTACCAAAGGCTGCCTGACATTTGTGCTTTGCAAGAAAACATCACTTTATGTGCCAGCTTTTGTTTTCTATAATCAATGTAATTTGCTGTTCAATAGAACGTGAACAAAATCCATGCATTTCTGAATGAGAAGATGCAGTTAAGCTGCTTTTTGGCACAACCAGCTCCTCTAAGAGCTAGGATGTGGCACCTGATCACATAGCTGGGGTGGTGCTTCTGAAACCACCTTGATGACTTGTCAAAAGGCAAAGCTATTGATTTTTCTTTTTATTTTTTGTCCCCTCTGTTATTTTTATAGAAGTATCCAAGCTGGAGAACTTACCCTACCACCTCTTCTGCTTGAAGCAAGCATGCTTACATAGTGAGTGACACCTTTGCTGTGTACGGATGCAGAAAGGGCTGGTTTGCTCTTAGGGTTACTGCTAATATTGTTGCTAGTCTTGGAATGAAGGAAAAGCTGTGCTTACCATGAAGCTTTCAGAGGCAGCAGAGGCCTGTTCCTGGCTTGCTAGGGTCCATCTGCACATAAGCCAAGTTGCTGGCTGGTGGATCCCTAGCTTACAGATTGTCATTGTTCAGTTACTTTACTTGAACATAATCTTTACATGAATAGAATTTCTTGTGTGCTGTAGAGTAACCTTTTATATTATTAGTATCTGCAATAATTTTTTCCCTTGGAAAGTGATTCATTTCTTCTTGCAGATAGGGGAGACATGAAGCATTATTCTGCAGTCACACAAGAAGCCCTATTCATTCACAGTTTATATTGTGAAACCAACCCTGTATCCTTAGGGTTGGAGTTGGTTTCGTGGCAGCAGTCCTAATTACTGAATCTATCTCCAGCATATCTGAACTGGGGGCTGTTTAGAAGCACAACTGGAATGAAATGGGAGGTCGAAAAGATGGAAATATGGATGTTTCTTAATGCACTCAGTCTTTCCATTGTTGCTGTTCATAAATAGTAGATTTGAGTCACCAGCCCAAAGTCTCAACAAAAGCCCATTCAAGCTCAATTTGAGACCAGATTCCCAGATCTGGTAACAGGAAGATTTTGTCTTAACTGGGTTTATATGCTGGATCATGTTTGGTGGTTCAGTGTCAAATAAAGCTGTGAGCTGAGTGCTGCTAATCCTGGTCAAGTAAAGCCGGTGGAGGAGTGAGAAATGCAGTTTGTACTCTGTGTGTGTGTGCATTTGTGCCGCCTGGGAAGTTACTGGTCTTGGCTGTGTGTAGCTGGAGACAAGTGCTTCAGTGCCTTGAGATAGCTTAGCACGTTTCTGCAGACAGTGAAAATAAGGCAAGTGATATTCACTGAGAAGACATTAAACTAAAGACATTAAAAAGAGGCTATTAGATTTTTAATATTCATTCTCTGTTTACTTCTTTCCCTGCCGCAACAGTAAAAGGGCTGAAGACATCTGAGCACGGAGGAGGAGGTCGTGTTGTGACAGCTGTGACATGTCTGTGTCTTGATTGTGTTGGCTCCTGGATGTGGTGGTACCAGAGAAACACAGCCTGGTTGGGAAGAGGTTACAGAATGCAGCAAGCGTGGCTGTGCAGCATCCTTCCTCTAAGGGGCTGACTGCTTGAGCATGGCTGAGCAGTGGCTTAGGGCTTAAGCACGTAGAATTATTTGGAAAGTGGAGATGATAGGAGGAGCTGCTTCATGTGTTGTTGAGCATATCTGGAAAAGCAAAACTGAACTGAAGAAGCAGCGGTTTAGGCTGAGAATCTGAGACTTCATTTTGACAAATCCTTGTGGAGTAATCTTAATGACATGAAAAGCTTCAGTGTTTGAAGATAGCTTAAAGGGTGGGAGAAACTTAAGCCCAATGGAAGGAGTACATATACAAGGGGGAAGCAACCCCTTGGAGTGATAGAGGAGTCAGAGAGATTTAACGTGTTATTTCTATGATTAGGGAATAGCTTTGTCAAGATGCAATTGTTTCCCAAATTATGTACATCTCAGACAGTCTTCCTTGGTGGTAAAACTTGTTCATTAGAAAAGTAGGGAAGAGAGGACTGGAGCAATTGTGAAGAGCAGTCTTCTGTTGTGACTCATGGAGGAGGGAGGAAGGAGCTCTGAACAAGTCTCATGCTTTTTTGGAAACAATATTGACTTTTCTAATCTCTTCTTTTGATGGCCTCTGTTTTCTCTAAGCATCATGGAACTTTTCTTTCGGGAGATGCTGGGAAGTTTGTTGATGGAGAGTCAAAAAAGAGCAAGCAGCAAATAGACTTTTACCTCTGAAAGTGTTAGAAGGCTCTTGGAGTGCAGAGATCATTAGACTTCTTGGAGTCATGGAAGCATGGGTTTTCCTGCCTGAACAAAGCCTGCTAAGTCTTATAAGATGAGCACGTTGGTGAGCCATTTTTTAAACTGTGGCTCTGATTCAGCGAAGCATTAAACGCACCTGATTGTGGAGCCTGAGAGTCAGTGACTGGAGGGTGTGGAGTCTTATTACCTAGGCTTCTGCTCCACGTATAAGGACCCCAGGGTTTAAAAATGGTTCTGTTTACGCCCTTTATCCTCTGACTCAGTGCTGTGGCTGGGGCACACCCCATACCTCTGATCATCCCTTTGGAAGGCTCTCCTGTGCCTGTGGGGCTTTGGGGCAATGCCAGTGGGTGCAGGGAGGAGCAGTATGGGGCAGGCACAGAAGCGCGCTGTGAAGCTGGCCCTGGTACAACAGACAGATTGGCCTGTGGTGCTTGATAGGCAGGTGGCAGCCTGTTACAGACACCAGCCTGGTAGTTGGAGCAGTTGCTACTTCATCTTGCATGCAATCGTTGCAATGTTTTATGTAATCCACGGAACAAATCAGAAAGGGTTCTGCGTGCAATTCTACTTAATTGTAATGAGCAGATTTGATGTGTTTATGAATCCCATCAAATAATCTTAAAATCAGTTCTTTTCAACTTGAAATGAAGGATTTATAATACATAAAATGTCAATGTTCAGCAGGATGGGTTTGTTTTTTGTTTTTTGTACAATTTAACCATTATGATAGGAAATGCAACCATAAATGCTTACTCTGAGTGTAAAATTCTCAATTCTGATTTTCACAGACAGAACCTCTACACAAATGCTATTTTCTGCTCTTGGTGTCTACACCAGCAGACTTATTTAAGAAGTCTGTTACGCTATTTATGGGTTATAGGAGAATAAAAAAAGCAGTTCTGCCTTAAAATGTTTGCCATAGTCCCAGAGACCTTGGTGAAAGGCTAATGGAAGTAGCCTTTATGAAAGGCCAAACATTTTTAGAGGCATTCATCTGCTTTGCTTGAGGCTGTTTGCAGTGCTTTATAATCCAGAGAATTTGGAAATCCTGAAAGTGCTTGTTTTCCTTGTGTTAGAGGGTCTTGGGAAATGAAAGCCAGAAATTTGCAACGTGATCACAGTGTTGTGTACCGTTAGAATTAAAGGTAATGTTTTGCACAGAATAGGAAAGAGGGGGGAAATAAGCAAGTTTGGAAAAAAGAAATCAATGAGTGGTTAAAATAGAGCTGTTAAAATGGCAACACAGCAACACACAGCCCGTGTATAAATATAGGCTAGCTCCTTAGCAGTGTTCTTATATGGTAGATCTGAGTGAAGGAAAAATATCAGCCTGTTCTCACTCCATACAAGCCTGAATGCTGGTTGGTAAGGTCTGATGCCATTTGTTTGGTGTCAGAAAAGGCTGTATCTTACATGTCAGTTGTAATGACTCTTGTTTCTCTTTCTCTTGCAGGGACCTTCCTTAACAATGTGAGAAGGGACTCACTCAAGCATACTGTGGATTTTTTATCTGTACATACCACTTGATTATTGTCTGTGTTCTACTGATCAACCTGAAAAGAAAGATCAAACAAAAATTGTTGTCAGCTTTGCCCTAAAGCTGCCTGAAATTTATGACTCCTTTTGGAGAAACTACCTGGACTGTTAGAAATGGAGCAGCTCAGGCTGTGTCTCTGATCAGCAGAGCTCTCTGCGTGGAGTACAGAAATCAAGTTGCCTTAAGTCAAACCATATGCAGGTTGCACTAATTGTTGTAACTACTGCTGATACCACTCCAGACTTCACTAGGACTTTCCAAGACAGTTGTTTCTCACGTGGCTTGAATGTTTTCAACTGATGTTTGAATATTTCTATTCAATCTGGTGTGGCTGTGCAAAGTCAAAGGGGTTTATTTTTGCCTGCTAAATTAATGGTGAATTTTGAAGCCTCACTTCCGAGTGGGATCTGTGCTATGGCAGCAACCTACAGGCTTATGGTCACAACTGTGAACTGCTACAGCAGCGTGGTGATAGAACAGCACTTTCAGCACACAGTGCATTACTGCACGGGGACCTGCCAGGTGTTTAAGCAAGGAGTTGCATGTATTGTTGCCCACCACAGTGTGTGTGCAGAACTCGGTGTCCAAGATGCCAACCTAGACCACAAAATTCCAGTTTCTGAAAATGGCCTTGCCTTACCTGGGAATGAGGACTATCAGCAAATACTCCTGAATAATCCCAGAATCAAAAAGGGCTCTTCGGTGCAAGCTTCTGGCAGTTTGAAAGACATTACTGGTGAGGCAATAAATCTCGCCAGTGGTAAAATAAAGGAATTCTCGTTTGAGAAGCTCAAAAACTCTTCCAATCATGTGGCCTACAGAAAGGGGAGGAAAGTTCGTTCAGAATCATTCAGCAGACGATCATTTGATTTTGACATGATTTATGGGCACTTCAGCAACGATGAGAACTCTCCTCCGTGTGGCTTTTTGCAGAGTCCCTCGCCTGTGGAGAAATGGCAGGAGAGCAATGATGCTCCAGAAGTCAGTATGAATCCCATGGTTCCCTTCTCACCTCATTCCTTCTCTGACGAAAACTTCATTACCCAGATTTTGGAGAAGCACAAGCTGGATGGTTCTTCTGGTGGAGATATTAAAGTGTGCTTAGACATCTTGCTCAAGTGCTCAGAGGATCTGAAGAAGTGCACTGACATAATAAAGCACTGCATCAAAAAGAAATCAGCAGACAGTGTTAGTGGAGGGAATAGCAGTGATCCTCTGGCTAGTTCAGAAATGATATACGTGAATCTGATGAGAAGATTTTCTTCATACCTGAAAAAGCTGCCCTTTGAGTTCAAGCCACCTGGGCACAAGGAGGCAGGTGATCTTGGAGAATTAGTGAACTGTTTTCATGGCTTGCAGCAAACTCCCTTTTCGCCAATATTTGGAGATGAGCAGCCACCTAGGTATGAAGATATTATTCAGCTTCCATCCTCAAATGCAGTTCCTGTCAGACCACCAGGCGACCAGTGTGAGGTGACAAGTGCCTCTCAGTCCATCCAAACAAGCACTGTGAGCTTTACCTCAAACTCCCTTTGCAGCACCTCACAGGAGAACACTGTGAGAGCTGTGAAAGATGCTTGTGTTCTACCTCAGTTATCAGCCACAAGCCCTTCTGACTGCACACCTTCCACTGAGGTTTTGTACATCGAGGAAGAGTCAGATGGGGAAAGAGTGTTGGAGAAAACAACGAGGGCAAAGGAGAAGGAGGACTGGGAGAGTTTAAAGCATAGCTACCAGCTATCTGGTTCTTCAGATGCGATTGCTGATGGTAAAGCAGAACCTACCAGGGTAGGAGGTGAACTTTCTCACGCTTCTGAGAAAAGTAATCTTTTAAAACCAGTTTCAGATTCTGTATTGCGTGGTTCTCAAGCTGGCGTCTCCAAAGGAGAACAGACGTGCAAGATAGACAAGGATGAAATAGATAAACTGCTGCTGGACTTGGAGCACTTCTCACAGAAAATGGAGAGTACTTTTAGGGAGCCCCCTCCAAAGGAGAGCGAACCTGCCAGTCTGCAGGTGTTTGGCTGGCAGGGTAGGCCGGTACTACCTGTGGCTCTTGAACCCAAAAGTAAACCCAGTGACCCCACTTCCCCTTTGTCAAAAATCATGGAAACCAATGGTCATAAAATGGAAGAAGATGACAGAGCCCTTTTACTGCGTATCTTAGAAAGCATCGAGGACTTTGCCCAGGAACTAGTGGAATTCCAGACAGGCAAAGGAAGCTTGTCCAAGGAGAAGGAAGTGATGCAAATTCTTCAGGAAACATTATCAACTCCTTCACAGTCCCTCCTTGCAGGGCAAAAAAGCCATGCTGGGGCTGCCTCCAGAGACTCTGTTCCAGCTTTGATTCAGCAGGCACCAGAAGTAATTAAGGTAAGAGGATGAAGCCTTTGAGTGGATAATAAAACAAATGTGGAAAAAAATGTGGAAAAAATGTTACGAGTGGTAAGCAGTTCTTTCGATGCTGCAGTGTGGAATAATGTGCTCAACCTGGCAGTAGTATTGATGCAAAAACGAAAAAGGAAACAAAAAAACTGAGCAAACAAAATGGGCTCTGACGTGCAGTTTCACCTTTCACCTTGTCGTTTTCCTGATGGTGCTCCTGTAGCCTCCTGTTTGCTTGTACTTAAGTGGGTCCTACATAACAGAAGGGCTGAGGCAGTGTTTCAGCTTATTGCTTTATTCCTGGGAGCAGGCACTGGATTGGCTCTCACCAGTTCAGTGAGAACTGGAGGCTCCACCTTGCCCTTTCCCTTCTCAGAGTAACAGCTTCCTTTGTACTGCTTATCAGTGGATCCTGAAGAAAGATCCTCTGTGGTACAACAATGAAACCTAAGAAGATTTATTTATTTATTTCCCTTCCTGTGTCCTCAGTGCACAGAGTGGTTATGGTATCCACACTGCGCATTTCTCAAACAAGAAGCAGGATTTTTTGAGAAGGGTCTGATTGGAAGCCTGCTTTAGAGGGAAGCTGAAGCTCTCTGTCCAGTTCCTAATACTTTCCATTTGAAAACGAGTGCCACGCTTCCATAACAATGCAGTAACAAGGTCCCACAAGGTGCACAGAAGGGCTTCACTTCCCAAAATCCATTTTCCATTTATGTACTTGAGAAGGCGTCCAGGTTATCAGTGAACTCTCAGAGCTCTTTCCAGCAGGAGCGTGGTTTGCATGTCTTCAGGATGTTTGATTTCCTGAAAACACAGGTATTTGGTGCAGTTCTGAAAGGGCTGGGATGGAGAGAAGAATTTTATCTCCCTACATGACATGATTTTTTTTCTTAGTTTTAAGACTAGATGCTCTCCAAGCATTTCTAATTTTTCTCCGTGCATCTTTGCTTATGGAAAATGGCAAATATGACCTTCTTGGATATCTCCAGCAAGCCAAAAGAGCTTCTTCCTCAAAGTGTTGAACTAAGCAGCTTTAAAGGTTCTGAAGCAATCTTTTAATAACTATTCTTGCCTTATGTATTTACAAGATTTTTTTTTTAAACTTGTGAACTTGAAACAAAAATTATCATGTGACATCTGCATTTTGTGGCTGCTTTTGTACAGTACTGAGAACTTGGATATTCTTAGACTGTCAAACAGCTTTTTTCAGTTGGTTCCCTACTGGTTTGTTTCCCTCATTATCCCTGTGGTTTGTGTGTTTGCTCTTAGCCTGCCTTCACAGACATACAGCGTGTACCAGTATTACCGGAGCTCCTCTCGCTTACTACAGCTCAGCTTTGTGCACGTGGCTAGCACCAAAACTCACAGAAGAAAAGAAATGCCTTGGGAAAGCAGAGGAGACCTGGAGGGGCCTGTGCTGCACAGTGCAGCTGGTGCCCTTCAGAGTGGGTTAGCCCTTAGCTGAGTGGACAGAAGTCACCTGAACTGCTGGTTAAACCAGCTATGGCTTTCTCTGTGGTTTGGTGGGGTTTATAGAGAATGTTTTGTGCTCATCACCTCACCTGTAGCATGTAGGGTATAACATGTTGGTTAACTCTGAATCTGGCTGGAGAATTTCCGTGAATTTCTGAAGTGTTTGTTGTATTTTCTTAGGGCTCGTAAATGATTATCAAGTAATTGTACAGCACACATGCAAAAGCGAAAAACAAAAACCTACCAGATCTAACATTGGTGAAAATGCAGTGTGATTTTCATTTCTGATGCTTGTGGCAGTTCCAGTCCCTTGAGCAATGTGGAAGGAAAGGTGAAGCCCCTTCAGGCCAGGCCGCCTGCTGGCTCAGAGTGGCCTATCTGCATTGAAATCTGTGCTAACTTGCATCAGCAACAGATTTTTCCCTTTGTCGTAAGAGCCGGTTATGATCATCCATGCAGAACAATAGAATTACTTGCCTCCTCAATTTCAAAACCAAAATATTTATAAATTAGGAAATGAATACTCAAGAAGTCCATCTATTTTTCAGAGCACGTAATGAGCAAATCATGCTTCTTATAGGCAGTCCAGGAAGCTTTGCATGCTTCCAGGCTGTTTGACATTTCCCAATCTGAGATCCAGTTTTCCGCTGCTTATCTCTGGACTAAGTATTTAGTTTAAAATTTCCTGTTCTGTGTGTCTGCTGTAAGCTGATCTTTCTTATAAAATGTTTTTTGAAATACATGGTTCAGTGAAAACAATTCAGCTGACTAGCTAGGAGCTAGCAAAAAGTACCCCAAATGTTTGCTAGTCCGAGAAGGACCAGCAGCAAACCAAATAGCTGTATTCTTTGTAGGCAGGAGGGCAGTAAGGAGCACAGCTTGGTTGGACTGACAGTTGTGAAGTAAAACTAGAAACAGGGAGTAAGGGAGAAGTAGAAAGTGGGCTGTAGAAATTATCTGATCTACAAATGTGATGACTGATAGATATTTTTTTTGAGGGGAGGGATGGTAAAGTTTTGTTTGAAATGTCTCCTGCAGAGTTCTTGGAAAAGTCAGGGGTGGGTGTTTTTGACCTTAGCTTCTCTGTGCCCTTGCCCTGCAACCTGTGCAGGATGGATGATTTGATGAAGCATTTAAATTTGGTTAATGAATGCTTGCAAAGTGCATAGTGCTGGAGTGTAAGTATGCAATAAAGCCTTTAAGAACCTTACGTGCTCATTCTGCCTTCAGGATCAAGTTTGAAAGTGCAGGGCTCTGCTCCAAGCCCTGCTTATGCATTCTGTTTTAAGAGCTGCTGGGTGAAGTTTGTGAATAGTCTTGAGAGCAGAAACCAGGACAGGAGTTTGATGCCAGCAGAGGCTGCCTCTTCACATCCTGCCTCCACCGAGCACCTCGTATCGAAAGCCTACTTGTGGTGCAGTGAGCTAGAAAGTGTGGTCCTGCCTCCTGTTTCTCTTCCTCATTTCTCCACTTCCCTATTGCATGGCTTTGAACTTTCTTTTTACTTACCCCGATGCTTATGTACAAACTTAATATTTTAAGCTTGTTTTCTGCTAAATGAGTAATTAGAAATTAGCTATGTTGAAGTGCAGTGGGTGGTACAGCTGCCTTTGGTCAAGGAGAGGTGGACCTTGAAGCAGAAAGCTCAGAGCTTACAGGGCTTTTACATTAAATAATCACATTGTCTCAAAATGCATTTGTAATATAATGGAAAACTTCCTGGAATCAGATTTCCTCTACATATGTTACGAATTGTTTGGATCAGATGTTGTGACATCACTCAATTAAGTTATCTGCACTCTTTTCAAACATCAATTATTCACGCTTTCTAATCCCAAATGGTAAAAAAGGAGATTTTGATTGTTTGATAATAGTAATTGAAATAAAGGAAAATAATAAATGAATCTTAAAGTATCTTGGAATCAGAAATGACAAGAAAATTAGGTGAAACTAAGGAATTTAAAGAGCCAATATTAACCACTTAAGGAGACGTGCCTGGCAGGTGGGCTAATTTTGTACTCACAGCAGATACAGATTCTTCTTGCATTAGGTTGGTTTGTCTTAAAACAGACATCTGAAGGTATTGGTGCAAAACTGATATACATTGAATTTTTCAGCCTCGTTGACTCTAAAACCAATAAGAAGTGATGCTATTGCTGGAGAAGCTTGATCTGTTTTGAAGGCATTTGGAGCTGGTGCCCTTTTCAGCTATATAGAATGCACTGGGTTTTTGCAGCCAGACTTGTGCTACAGCTAAATCCTGTGGTGGTTGAATCGTCTGAATGTTTTAGAACCAAGCCTCTAGCTTTAGGCACAGGTGGGATTCTGTCCGTGTTCTGATGGCTGATGAAGGCAGTATGTATTTCTTTAGATACAACATCTTTCACCTTTGTGCTTTACATCGGGTCACTCAAAGCAGAGGACTTTCCAAATTTGCCTGCATTTTGTTCAGTTGATAGGTACCCTGTTGATATACTTTCCTACTGCAGACTGTGAATCCATCCTTTTGCTTCCAGTCTCTCAGAGTGCTGTGTATTTCTGTCTTTATTCATACCCTCCTTTTGTGCTTTGAGGATAAGAGATACCATAATAGGAACCTGCTATTTTGCAAAAATCTGGAATTCAGATTTTTCAAGCTTCAGCTCCAGTTTGCTTTTCTTTTTCTGTGCTATCAGGGTGGTGGTGTAACTGTTTGGAATCTTGAAGTGGTTGATATGTGAATGGGAAATCTTTATTTCAAGAAATAGCGAGTGGTTGCTGGGTTAGTGTGTCTCTTCCATTCATATGTCTTTTAAAGCACAGTGTAGCTGGTCTGGATGCAGCTGTAGAGATAAGAGGTTCCTTGGGGCTACATTTCCTCTGCGATGTGTAAGCAGGGTGAGAGGTCAGTGGAAGGTGAAGCAAGTGCACTTGCCACAGATGACTGGGCATAAATCTCGTGACGTGCTGCTATGTGAGATGTGCAGAGCTCCACGTACAGTGAAGCCTCTTGTGCTCTTTGGGCATTGCTTTAATGTTTAGAAAAAATTGTTAGAGCAAGAAAATATTTGTTCCCATACTTCTGCATACAGATGCATGTGCTTTTTGCTTAACTGCAATCCCATTTAAAACTTTCCTGCCTTCCATTTTCTTTTTTTAGGACTCTTCTCGTTCCTTTCCTTGTCCTGCCCCTCTGTTAGGCCGCACTTTCCTTGGCGAGGCACGTGGCAAACTCAGCTGATGGCGCTGTGGTAACCTTGTGATGGTCTGGAGCTGTGTCTGTGAACACACACCTGCACTTTGGAGCTGCAGAGCGCTCCCAGGTTGCACAACTCAGATACAGCTTCAGTGACCTAACGGGACCTACATGATGCTCTGTGTGATCCGTTCTTGTTCAGATATTCTTTCATAAAGAGCTGAATTCCACAGCCTAGACTTTTACCTTGTTCTGTTGAATGAGGAACAAGAGGAGAAAAAAACATCTTGGGATTTTTGCTACGCAGTTATGAAAACATTAAAAAAATGCCTTATTT